AACCGGGCTCTAGCCCGCTTTTTGGACAAGTGTTGGTCTCTGTATTGAAAGATAGATAGCCCGATAGATAGCCTGAAAGACAGCCCGATCTGTGACTATTCTCTTAACGGAATCAAAATCCTTAACTATCATGCCATCTCTGTTTTCTTCCTTAGGTTTTTGACCTTCGCGTTGTCACTAGCCGTGCCAAATATCCCGAGCGCCAGTATGGTTCTCGTTGTCACGGTGCTCTCGTCTATTGGCATTCCCACCGAGGGGGCTGGATTACTCTTTGCCATGGAATGGCTCTTGTAAGCATATGGAATTTATTTTGTCCTCCTGTAATCCTTAATAGGAGATTCTAGAGTGAAGGGTTCATAAATGTGTCTATGCGACACGTGCAAACTATTTTCAGTCTTTCTATAAATGTTGGGTTACTTACGATGCATCGGAATATGTTTGTAGACTTTGCAGGCAGTTCACCCTCCTCTTAAGCTCATAAGTACTACTGACCCTTTGGAATTGAAACTCTGGATTTGTTGGCGATAAATATGAATGTAATTGTCATTTACTCGCGATTATGCAATTACCTATGATGGTTGTGCCAAAGGTAAATCACTCTGCGAAGCCATGTACCGTAATGTCTTTCTGTAAGCCATAGACAAAATGCCACAAAAGAAAGCATTTCTAATTTATTATTCACGTAAACGACGCAAACCACGCCCTTTATGTCAAAAGAGTGTGCTGTTGTAGCGTGGGTAAATTCTGAACATATAAACTTTTCAATTCGAAGAAAAGTAATAATCTATTTGAAAGAGAGGGGTTTGACCGATATGAATACTTCATTTGACCTAACTGGTAGATATTTGACGACCTAGGCGGGTTCGAACGCACGCCAAAAAAAAAAGCTTGATTACAGCTAACGCTCTAACCAACTGAACTACGAGGCCCTAACGTAGCCCGTGGATTTAATCAGTTAATTGATATGGTTTTGGAGGAACTGAAGAGTTTGCTCTTACCCTTATATAGGAGCAGTTTGTGCCATATTTGATTAATTTTAGATCCCCGTTTTAGGATTACCAATGTAACTAAAAGTACCCAAAAATACATACTAAGATTTTGCGAAAAATACCTTTCTTCTGTCTGTTCCGTTTCTAAATTATGCATTAGCGGAAACTATACCATACAAAACTATTTTGATACATGCTTGAAATTTAATAATATTATTTTCTCTATTCATGTACACGATAAACTTTATGCATATTACAGGACCAGTTCTTAAGTGCGGCAAAACAAAATATGGGCAAAGCTTTTTCACTGCGTTTTGTGTCAAATAACTTCAGGCATTGGCAAAAAATATTTTAAAACTGCAGTTTTTCCTTGTTTCTGAAAAACAATGCGATTCGTTGAGCGTACCTTTAACTGATTTTTATCAGTTTAGGACTATATTTTCCGGTTCTAAAAGTATATCTAGAACATTTCATGCTTAAATTGGTATTCTCTTGTGGCAAGACTCACGAAAATAGAACGTTTGTTTTATTATACTAACTATCAAAGGAAATTTGTTCGATATCAGACAATTTCATCTTTCGCTAAAATTAGGCTTGTTTCCCTTAAACATCTTGAAAAAATGAGGTTTGGGCTTTCTCAGGATCAACTCGACTCATCGGATTAAAATAGTCCTCCCCACTATATGCGAAACTTCCAACTCCACGAGTTACGTCACATAATGCAGTTGTTGTGCTACTGAATGCGAAGCTCTAGACTGAGCCCC